ATGTATAAAACTGGCACTCGGCAAACTGTTATTCGGAAAAGTGGTCTCGGCAATCTGACATTCGGCAAACTGTATTTCGACAATCTGGCAACTATACAGCCATTTTGTTTTGTCGGTATTTACACATTTCGACTGGGCAGGCGGGCGTGGTTTAACGAAGAACGACCAATCGAATACGGTCTATGATTTACAATATTGTATCACAAACGCCCCTCTATTCTAGAGTCTCATAAATTCTTCCCTCGAACAAGGAGGAACTAGTTTAGTTTCTAAACTAATTCCTCCATGCCTCGAATAAACGCGCCCGTGAGAGTAATTTTAGAGTGGAAAAAAAATATGACACACTCTGCCCCGTCTGTGGGTTACACATGGCCATCCACTGGGGAACAGTGAGCCACAGTACTTTAAAAAAAAATTAAAATGAAAAAGAGGCAAAGATGTACAATCGATAACTTACAATGAAATTGCATTAATTTTTTTTATTTAGTAATGAAAATGACTTGTAGGCCTACATGGTATGTGAAACATTTCTAAATCAAACATAATATTCGATTATTTTATATAGGCCTATTCATAAAAATTACAAACATTACATATGACATACAATTAAAGTGAAAATGCTATAGATGTGTATATTATTTGTCATCAGACCATCGAAGTTTCAATGTGATCCAAATAACTTTCGTTTCAAATCTGTAAAATGTATTTCTGATCTTTTTAATAACTGTGAGTCTGAGGACCTTCTAGAACACTTATCCAACAATAAGGCCTCTCTCGCCGATTATTTATTAGTTAAAGATACTTAAACTTAGAAGATTATTTATTAGATAAATTAGATTTTGCAGGTATATCATTGAAATTTAAACTTTGCTCTAACACATTGCCCTTAGATAGTAGAGTCTCTAGATGGTCGGATGACAATAAAGGTTAATGCACACTTGTAATACAAATAGTGAAGAAGACATAAGACACTTTTTATTTACTTGTCCTGCTAGCTCTCCTAAACATACGTTTAGATGAGTTTAATAAACTTGAATTTAAATTAAATAGTCAGAATATTGATGTTTGGGATCAATTCTCGAATTCTAATATTAATATTAAATTAAGTTACATTTTAGGCTCCACTGCCCTTTCTCTGACAAAAGAAGTCGAAAAAATGTTTCGATGAATTTTGTAAATATTATGGAAAACGAGCGTGGAGAAAAAAAATCCGAACTTATACATTTACAAACTTTGTCGTAGATTAACTTTCTGTATTGCTGATTAATTTCTATTCAACCAATTTTGTTTGTATCCTACCTTATTGTAGAGTTAGTTGGTGGTACATCTGGCTATTCAATTTTTTTTTTCATTTCTTTTGTACTATAGTAGTTAAGAATTTTAATTTGTTTTTCAATTCACTTTCACAACGCACCAAATGATTTTTGAGTGCCATCGATCTAAAGGTGTATGTTAAAAGTATAGTATAGTAAAGTACTGTACCGGTAATTACAATTGAAAATTCCTACTATCATAATATTACACTTTTCTATCAGGTCTAAACACGGAAGATAGGCCTATTAATGTTATCTTCAGGTGTTTTCCAATTTTCCAATTATCTTTTCTGTTTCGAACCATACTTATATTAAATTTTGCTATCTTTAAAAAATAGCCTGATATATATTTTTAAAAAGAAAGCAAACTCTTTGATATTACTATCTGTATTTGATAATTATAAATAAGTAAATGGATATTATTGATGACTTTAAAATACTTATATATGCAAGAATATGACGGGCGCAAGAATAGGCCATGACTATTCTTCTGCACTACCATATATGTGGCTCACTGCCTCCTTCCTTACTATGGTTCCTATTCTGTATAACAAGTGCTCCCTCTAGAGCCTTATTTACTGCATAACAAGTGCTCCCTCTAGAGCCTTATTTGGAATAAATGCTTCCCTCGAATAAACTCCCCCTCCCCATGACTGTTAACCAAAGATCTTATAGTTAATTATATCTTTGCTCTAAACGAAACCAGTGGGTCTCAACACATTATAATTATATTGTCATAGAATTGCATTTAGTGCTAGCTAACCTGTTTAAGTTCATTTATTATCACACAATAACGAATTTTGACGGAAATATATTTTGTTCCACATTTACAATGAAATTAAGGGGCGTATATTTGAGTAGGGTGAAAGCGGGGCACAGTAGGTCGGATATTTGTTTTTTGCCTTTTTGTTTTGGCAAAATTTTAAATTAAAGCAACGCCTATGTTTACCTTCATACATAGGGCATCCTGTATCACATTTTCTATTATAAATTAACCGATTCTGACAGCACCTTTTTTTGGGAGTGATTTTAAAGAGGAAACAAATATGATCCACTGTGCCCAGTCTGTGAGGTACAGTGAGCCACAGTATTATTTTTCTAGAAAATTACAATGAAAAAGAAGCAGAGATGTACCATACAATTCGATAACAATTAAATGTCATTTTAGTAATGAAAATGGCTTGTACATGCTATTTTAAATGTTTCTAAATCAAACATATTTTTCATATATTTCAAATCACAACTATAATATATGAAATACAATTAAAGTGAAAATGCTATAGATGTATTATAGGCCTATTATTGTTATTACAATTGAAAATTATTACTGTATCATAATGAACTCCATGAGTGGATTTCCCCACAATTAAAATCGTAACGAAACTGGGCTTGGTCTAGGAGTTTGTGCTTCGAACATGTCATTCCATTCTTAGAAGAAGCCTTTTAATGAAGAAAGTGTACTATTTAGCAAGATTTACCGAAGTCGAAAACAACTCCAGCTATAAAAAATTGATTAGAAGATTAAACATGTTATTCTTGTTAATGAATTGATAAGGATGATTGCTATGTTAATTTTTTTATTGATCAAATCTAGGTAAATTTACTTTTAGAGTTTATACATAATTAGTTAAAACTGTTTGGATATTTATTTGAAAAATATATAATGAAGTATATATATATAAACTTAAATATATAATAAACTTTAAAGTTTATAATAATATTTAAAAAAGACAGGAAGAAGGAAGAAAAGCAAAGAGGTGCGGGGCGGCTTAGAATTGCACCGAAAATTATATAATAGTGATAATGGTTCAAAATTACATTTTACGAGTTTGTAGTAAATTATTCATCAGACGTGAAGGTGTCAAGCTTACACGTTTTGTAATTCGACATGTCAATTAGAGGATTTTAATAGAAATATTTAATAATAACGATGATGATGATGATAATAATAATTATAATATATTTTATATTACCTTCAAATAATATAATAATAATGTTATAAAATTTTCTTAGGCCTAGATTATGTTTTTTTTTTGTTAAGAAGTAATTATCTTATTATATAGAAGCGTTAGGCCTACATATTAAAAAGCTTTGTTTCCAATATAATTCCTTACATCTCATTTTCATATTTTCATTTATTGTTTTAGACATACTTTAAATTTTCTATTGTAATCATGCATGTGAATGTGATTTTGTGAAATATATCGAAATCTAAACTAAACTATTAAACATTTAATGTATATTAAAACGGCTGATTTTAATATTAAGTCCATCGACTGTTAGCCTACGTTATTTCACTGCAATTTTAATAAAGCAACAATATATATTGAAATATTGTATTACATCATAT